CCGCCCTCCTGCCCGCACCAGCCGCCCTCCTGCCCTCGCCCGCCGCCCGTGTGCCCGCCCGACCGTAGGGGGCGCTCGCTCGTCCATGTCGCCCGGGCTTCCCGGGTGCCCGGTCACCCACCGGCTGCTGAACCCTTGCATCGGAGTTCCCCAGGGCCGCCGTGAAGCCCTCAGCCCAGGTCTGCCCCGTCTGAGGGCGTGGGAACGAGGAGAAAACTCCTCCACCAAGGGAGGCACAGAAAAATGAGGCATTTTCCCGAAGATCTCTCAAGGTAGGTTAGATGGTACAAAGGAGACAGACCAGCCTGCGGGCAGCGTATACCTTTATGGAAGGAGGGTCCTATTAATGTTGACGCCCACAGCCTGGAATCAGTCTAGCCAAAAGTGTTTGTCCTCAGGGCAGGGATTTCGGATGGACATTCAACTGCAGTTTCGAAGTACCAAACTACTGAAAAAAAAAAAGGAGGGGGGGGTTAGGCAAGATGTTGGCAAGTCCTGAAGAAATACTTAAGTTCTTTGCCCCTACTTCCTATAGTTTTTGCTGTGAACTTTGTGACTCTCCAAGGGAATAATACAACATTTCCTTCCACAGAAGTCTTATTAAAATGTCAACCTCAGACTGAGCAGTGGTGGCGCATGCCTTGATCCCAGCGCTTGGGACACAGACAGGCGTTCGAACCTCTGAGTTCCTAGACAGCCAGGGCTGTTACACAAAGAAACCCTATCTCGAAAAACAAAACTAAACAAACAAAATCAACCTGAAAACAACACATATGAAATGCTGGCAGGTGGGAGTTTAATGGGCAGGTGTAAGGCCTTATCTATTCCTCTAGACTGATTTCTCTCCAGCCAGTCAAAAACGGATAACTTGGTCTGAGGGAGGCAGTTTGTGCTGTGGGGGCTGTTCATGCGTGATCTTTCTAGGTTTACTCATCAAAATTACACTTTCTGGTTGCTGATGTTGTAAGAGATGAATATTCATCAGGAGAGCTCTAGCAATAAGAATTCCTTGAAAGAAGTTGTGTCTGCAAAACCGATTGATTTTAGACCTGTAGTGATGTGGAGAGGTTGGGATGTTGCCTGTCCAGAAGCTAATCACCTTACTCGGCTCACTTCAGAGCAACCCAACAGCGAAGGATGTCATCAGATAGCATCTGAGGGCTTTAGGGAAGCTTCTCCCATCATTTCATTGGCTTGATTTATGAATCTCTTCTGTAAAACTTTAAAACTTAGTGAAGCTATTTCCACATTGGAACATGTAATTTGGGGTAACCTAAATCTGTGTTCTTGAGCCTTGGCCACTCAAATATGGCTCAAGAATAAACGCTTATTCCCTTTACGGAAAGCTGTCCTGTGTTTTTGCTGTCGTCATCATTGTCATCTGTGTTTGTGTGTCCCACAGTTGCTCACACCTGGTGAATACTTTTGCTCCTTGGTGAGGACATCTCTATTCTCCCCCTGCCTAGCTGTGTTTGTAACAAAACAAAACAAACACAACCCTCTAGCCAGGCTCATTTCTGCATTGTGTTAGGAAAGTCTTTCTTCCTCTTTTGTTTTTGAAGATAGGGTCTCCAATAGCCCTAGGCTAACCTCAAACTTGTTATATAATTTAAATGACCTTGGATTTTTCTCATTTTCCTGCCTCGACCCCAAATTCTGGGGATTACAGGCTTGTGCCACCTCACCTGACCAGTAAACCCTTAAAAAAAAAAAGAAGAAAAGAAATTGAGGCTGAAGAGTGGTTAAGAGCACCTCCTGCGCTTCCAGAGGAACTGAAGAGTCCCAGCACCCTTATCAGGTGGCTCACAATTGTCTGTAACTCCAGCTTTCTAACTTCCTCTTCTGGCCTCCACTCCCCAGCCCACACAGGATAAATGCACAGACAAAATACAAATCTTAAATATTGTTACTATTGCATATGTATAGGTCAGAGGACAGCTTTTGGGAATTCTCTTCCACCTTGTTGAGGCAGGATCTCTCTTTTTTGCTGTGCTATGTACTCTCAGCTGACTGGCTCTTTAGCTTCCAGGCAATTCTCCTGTCTCTACTTCCCTTCTTGACAGACTGAATCCTGGGAATACTGACATATGTAACCACACCATGGTTTTTTTTCTTTCTTTCTTTCTTTTTTTTTTTTTTTTTTTGGTTCTTGGGATTTAAATTAAATTGTTGGGCCCAAATGGTGTTTTTTTTTTTTGAGCCCTTGGAAAGCCTTTTAAGTTCTGCCTTCCCCAGTCCTTCCCAGAAATCCCTTTGCCTTGACCCTACCTCTCATTGCAGTATAGACTCCCTGAGGTCAGGGAAGGACCTTTGGGGTCCAGCAAGAATGCTTAGATGGACATTCAGACTACAGGACAAGCTCTGGGATGTCTGGGTTTGGTCCAGCTCCTCACATAGTTTAAAGGGCCAAACAGATATAATCACATGCCCATAAAGGCTTTCCCATGGGATCAAATTAAAGTTCTGCAGGAACAGAGGATTCCTTGGGCATTAATGTTTATAGCACCTATTTCTTTGGATCCTTAGACTGTGATGGCTATACCAAAATCACTATGGTACACCTAAAGAACTATCACCCAGGGTTAACCAGTTCTCTGGCCTGACTGACCCCAGGGGCTAAAGTCCATTCGCTATGCTCCCGCCGGGTCCCCTCTAACATTTCAGTACTACCTGCGGATAGTTTTCTTTTGCTTACTGCCTCATGCCTGGTTCTCTCCAAACCACACACAGACTTAATGTCTTCCAGCTGGCCCATCTCTCCTGTGCCCTCTGCTATATGATGTCTCCTTTATCTTTTACCTTTCATCCTCTCCAAAGGACTTTTGACGGAGCCATTTTCCCAGGAAACTCTGTTCTAATTCACTCTTCTGCTACCATCTATGCCTTAAATTGCATTCCCTGGCCACCTCTGACCTGCTGGGTGCTGAGTTCAGGTGGCATGTAACATTTCATTCTGGTGCCTACTTCTTGGTTTTCATGATTCTACATTCCTGGATTTTCTCCTGCCTCATGGGTCCCTTCAGCATTCATTCAGCTCTCTCTAAGTGCCATCGGGTCCCTCCAGCTCCCGTGTTCTCCCTAACCCTCCACTCTCCTTTGATGATGCTGTTGTTCTATCACCTCTACAGTCCAGTCACTCATGACCGGTGTGGGATGTCCTTCTGTTTATGTGTTGCCTTTATTGGTGGATGAATAAAGCTATTTGGGTCAATGGCTCAACAGAGTAAAGCCAAGCCAGAAATCAAACAGAGATAGAGAGACAGAGTAGGTGGAGTCCAAGAGATGTCATGTTGCTGCCGAAGGAGAAAGACACCCACTAGACTCTTACCACATGCATGTAGACCACAGCATCATGGTGATACACAGATTAATAGAAATGGGTTAATTAAGATATAAGAGCTAGCTAGAAATATGAATGGACCACTGGTCAAACAGTGTTGGAGTTAATATAGTTTCTGTGTGACTATTCGGGTCTCGGCTTACACATGACATCTCCCACAGGTACTGTCCTTTCAGCATGTCCCACACCAGGCTACTCATTTTGCTGTTCTTCCCTGTGTCATTTCTGTGAGAAACATGGTACCCATTTAGCTATTTAGCTGGAAACCTAGGAAATAATGGCTCCATTTCACATTGTCATTGTCACTACATTGCTCCCTGTGTTATGTGTTTCCCATCATGACTGTCACCTGCTATATGGGCTGCAACAGCTTTCATCTAGAGTCTGTTTTCTGCCTTGCTGTCTGATCTGTTCTCTACAATGGAACCACAGTGACTTCCCCAGATCACCTCTTGTGTTGGTGCTGAGGATCAAACTCAGGGCCATCCACATGCTGAGCACTCTGCCACCAGGCTGCACCTGAGTCAGAGGGAGGTTTATTTTTATTATTATTTTTTTTTAGACAGGGTTTCTCTGTGTAGCTCTTGCTGACCTAAAACTAGCTCTAGCTCTGTAGACCAGGCTGTCCTCAAACTCACAGGGATCCTCCTGCCTCTGCCTCCTGAGTGCTGGGATTGAAGGCGTGCACCACCGCCACTCTTAGCCAGAGGGAGATTTTTACAAGGGAAATCTGATCATGTTGCTTCCCTATTTAAAACTCTTCTGCGGGGTTTCTGCCAAGATGAAATCCAAGATTCTTAGGGTGACTCTTCAGACCCTGGCTCCTCTTCTTTCCCACCATGATCCAGTCAGAATGCTACTTTGAATCCTGCTATAGACTGAATGTTGGTAGCCAGAAGCTGGGGCTTTATAGGCTGACTAGACGATCCCATTTCTCCTGTCTGGAACCATCTGTTCCTGCGGACCTCAGGGACAGGGGATACTAGCTTGCAAACAGGATGCCTCCCACAAAGGATCTGAGAAACACTCCTGAGAGGATGAGGCTGCCTTTTTAATGGCATGATACTTCAAAAGTTGCTTAGAAGAGAAGCAGAAAGAACACAAGACCAGAGGAAGGGATTAATCACATATATTGATTAAATAACAGACAAGTCCATAAATTTGGGTCAGGTGATCCTAGAATGCTGTGTACCTGGGCTCTGGCCAGGGTGGTCAGAGACCCATCTCCTCTACCAGGAAGGAAGCCAGTCCTGGGCCCCATTCCCAGGATATCAGCCCAGATGTTTAGGATGATGGTATCAGTCTGGGCTACAATCAGTCTGGAGTCCCGCCTCACCACTTTCCACCAGCCTGGGTCTCTGTGCCTACGCTCATTCCATGTCCAGAGACACTGGGGAGGAGTGGCCCGGCTCAGAGGATGGTGAGGAAAGGGATGGAACCATGACATAGTCCTGGGGAGACTCAGGCAGTGACTATAGCCAATGTGAGGCAAGGACAACACCTGGGCTGGCGAGGCCCACAGAAGAGTTTCCATGCTCAGAGGATATTGTACTCCTGTAACTTCTCTCCTAAGTAAAAGCGGGTGAAGAGGAAGGGGCTCATGTCGATGGTATTGAACTGGCCATCTAGTACCATTTCTGCCACAGCTCGGCCGATGCCAGGTGCATGCTGAAGTCCACGACCACTGAAGCCCGTAGCAAAGTACATGTTGACAACTAGTGGGTGGGGGCCCACCACGCCATTCTGGTCAAAAGTGTTATAGTCGTAATAGCCAGCCCAGGCTCTCTGCACCTGCAGGTACAAAAGATGCTGAAGTTTTTGGCAAAGCCACAGACATGCTCAACCCACACCCTTGCTTAGGGATTAGCTGCTAAAGGGTTCATGGGATTGGACAGATCCACAGATTCCTTAGAGATTGTTAGGTGGAGGGAACACAACAGGTCAAGGGGACTAAGATGCTCTAGAATCATCAATCCTATTTGATTCCCAAACCCAACAGGAAAAATTATTCCCTGTTAGTTACCTTCAGAGTCTTAAAAGATGGCACCCTCTGGACCAAATGGGGCCACACTTTGTTCTGGAAGAAATCATGGTCCACTTCCAGATTTGTTGGGTCTGGTTCTTCCTCCTAAGTGAGAGGTAGAGGCAAGGCTTAAATACTGCTTATAAGGGCAAACCCAGATCTAATTCCTATAATCAATCCCTTCAGTGGATTCCAGTTCTAACCTCAGTGACAACATAGAGCGCTCAAAGGCTTCCCTCTTTAATGACATCTTGTCTGTCTCCTTGCAACTTAATTACCTCAGTGGGGCTGTAGCCACCTAGGTAGTTGCTGCCCAATCCTTCCCGTCGAAAATAGACTCCACTGATGTCGGCAACCAATGGTGTCTCCAGACCTGGTCCCTGGGGGCAGTGCCATAAGTGCACATACCTGTCATGATCAGGGGAGTTAGGACATTGCAGGAATAGCACCAACCCTCTCACTATATGCACACCAGACACACACACACACACACACACACACACACACACACACAAAACAGAAGTTTAGGAACTTTTGTATCATTTCTTTCTCATCCTTGGCTGCCCTGAAGATAGTTAGTTACCTTTTCCTTGGCTCCACAGGTAGTTTGGTGCCCTGAAGGGTGCCAGGCAGTCCCTTCCCAATACCAGCCAGCTCTGCAATCTGCCCAGACCAGGGTCCTGCAGCATTGATCACTGCAGCACACTCCACTGGCTGATACTCCAGACTCTTGTCCATTTTTACCTATATCCAACAGAAAGTAAGAGGAAGGAGGCTGGGGTGTGTGTGAGAGATAGTACAAGGGCACAACAGATGATATGACACTCAAAGTGGATCCTGAGAGGTTTATTTCCTCCTAAGCCTAACTTTGTCAGTACTGGGAAGCAGACAGAAGGCCTACATCTGGGCAGATTACCACCCTTCTTGACCCATTACTGGGGTAGGGAGCACACTGGAACTTGGGACTTACATGGACTTTGTTGATCCTTCTCAAGACTACCTGTTCCCCACTTGGGGTCTGCATTTGGCTAGATGAAGTGATGAAACCTGAAGGAAAGAAATTAAAAAAATAAGTCCTCTAGGAAAGGTGATTTCAGCGGTAGGGCATATGCTTAGCATGCATGAGACCCTGGGCTCTATCCCCAGTGCTCCCATCAACACAGGCATGCACATACACACAGTGGTGGTTGGAGGAGAATAGCCCCCATTGGCTCATATATTCGATGCTTTGTCCCCAGTTGATGGGAAGAATTAGGAGGTGTGTCCTTGTTAGAGGAGGTGTGTCACTAGGAAGAGGCATTGAGTTCAAAAGCCCACACTAGGACCACGGTCAGTCTCTCTGTCTGCCTGCTGCCTGTGGTTAGGATAGAACTCTCAGCTACTTTTCTAGCACCATGCCTGCCTGCCTGTTACCATGATCCTCACCATTGCTGATAACTGACTAACCCTCTGAAGCTATAAGCAAGCCCTTAATTAAATTCTTTCTTTTATAAGAATTGCTTTGGTCATGGTGTTTCTTCAAAGCAACAGAAATTAAGACACA